GGCCTTCGGTGGCTGCGAGTAAGCAGCTGACCAACCAGGGCGCTTAAGCTGTCGTTACTGTGTCACGCTTCGTTAAACGTTTCTCTCTGTCTCTCTTGCGAGGAACAAGCCACGCAAAGTTACCAATGGAGCATAATAACGGTCGAGCGGACGCGACGAAAAGGTACTAACGAAAGGCGATTAATTAAGCAAGATCCGTAAAGTCTCTCCGCAGTCTTTTAGCCGCGATAACGAACCACGAGCGTTTTACACTAAGCGAAGCGCGCGAGCAAGTTTCGCGAGCGAATCGGAAACTGTTGGACTCTTTTTTGGTCTTCCTCTTTGGCGAGCGAGCGGCAGGACCGAAGAGCCTTAACCTAATTAAGGAAGACAACCCGGGCGTAAATCACGCTGCCGGAGAGAAAGCGATGACGAGAGATAAAGACGCGAGGAGAGGCGCGAGCGGCAGCGTGGATTTATTTTTCACCTTTTCTTGTACTTCTTTGCGCGCGTTCTTTTTCTTTCTTTTTTTTACACGGTCGCGCGTCGTACCTTTACCTCGTGTATCTTGGTGATATGTCGGAGAAGTTTATGAAGTTGAATTCACAGAAATGTCCGGGGAATTAATTAGACAGATAGATGGAGAGTTATTCCGTTTTAGGAATAATATCTTGAAGATATAAAAAAAAGTATCACATAACGGTATATCAATCAGTATAACATAATTAGCGAATAAATATGATATCTGATATTTTAATTAATGAATGACTAAAGAAATACAAGTTATAATAAATATGTATATGTACAAGAACACACGTGTTTCCGAAATCTCGAATGGCCCACTTATTTATAAGCACTAGTTACGTAAAACACTCCTCACAAATCTCTTAATTTTTCGCGTTAATTTACCGGCGGCAAACCATGCTCATCACTTCCGGACACAATCATCCTTCTTCCGCGCGAAGATTCATGTTTCTTTTCTGTAGCGATTAATAAATTCTCCGCGGCATTGCTTGCCTTCGCGCATCGGTGCCACTCGAGGGAGTTCGAGGCTCGCGGCGTGAGGATTAATGTACCGCGAGGATTTATGTGCGCGATGTCGAGTGCAACTAGGTCATAATAGCGCTCATTAGACCCACGTAAGGCTCACCTCCACCCGCATACATGTGTGCTTGCGCCCTTTCGAAAACACGCATACGAATGCATGAGATGTTTTCTTCGCGCGTGCGAACGAGAACGGCGTGTGGGAGGGCTGAGCGCCGTGGACAAAAAAAAAGGATTTAACGCATAAGAAAATACGACAGGGTCGTAGGTAGTGTAGAGGGGGTTAAGAGAGTGCAGAAAAAGGACGATGCAAGAAATGGTACCGAACGAAACGAAGCAGAGGCACGCGCAGACAAAAATACGACGATCACAGGAAACGGTGAATCAAACGGACAGCAGCCGACCATTCCGAAAGTGTTTTTGTTATAATCACGTCTTATTTCTTGCATAAACTTCTTGTTTTTCAAGTATTAAAATTAAGGTCTAGTATCCTAGGATCTCCCAATATTTCAAGGAAATAGACATCTAATTATAATAATACTAACTGTGAAATAACTTGATGCGATAACGTATCTGAATTATACAATTCCTTATACAGGTATATTTGGCAAAAATCTCGTTTCCAACAAGCACGTTCACTAAATTAGGAGAATAGTGAGTATAAAACGATCCAACTATGATTTCGTTATCTTTAATCCGCGTGTCTGAACACGATGTTATATATGGAGTTGTTTCGCAGAATTACATTTTTTTTCGTGTGACAATTTATCAGTTCTAAAATATTTCTTTAACAAGATTTTACTTTATAGCATCACGCGGAAGTGTTATTAGGAATCAACGACACATTTATAGTAAATTTAATTTTAGTCACTGCGAATAGTTTATACTAATAGTGGCATTTTTAAAGTCACGAATAAATATATTATAGAAACAGTTCTCGGGCGTGTAGAACGAAATCTCAACTCATCAAAATCATGTCGGTTTCGATTTTCAACTGAAGCTCTCGGACGGGTCTTGGCGATCTATTGGAATGATAATAGAGATGAAATTACATAGTTGCTATACGCGTTATCGGTTACGGTCGTCAAAATCTATGGGTATGTGTATCGTGTGGATTTCGAAAGGCTTTACACGTGAGGGCGTGAGAAAGGAGCGTGTGAAAGCACGACAGGTTATCTCTCGGTATCTCGCGGCGAAGTCGGGACTAATTTTATATTTGGCAGTGCGACACGCGCCTTTCCCATAATTACGGGGACGTCAATCAATCACCACATCGAAATACACGTCGAACGTTCGATAACATCTTGATCGCCGCCACACGGTTTCACGGGCTGAATTAGTGAATAGAATTTCGTACTGTAACGTTCGAGCGTGACATCGCTTCTAGTCGAAAAAATTCCAAG